ACCATCCATTCTGCAAAGACATCAACCAATCAGAAATAGCTTATGAGAACTGAATCTCTTCCTGCTCAAAAGTGCTGTGACTATAGGTAACTAAAAATCATGGAAAACTTGAAATTCCAACAAAAAGAATTTAAGGCAAATTTAATTACCTAAATTGCATTTATGAAGTTATTAAATATTTCTTCTTTTTGAAGAGGCTTTTGCTATAGGGCGCATGCACGCGCCAGACAAGACAGCGTAATGGCTATGTCACTGGACTCCCACGTAGTCGACCACGGTTCGTGTCCCGGACCCAGTGGCTTAAACTCACGCCGGGTGCATGTGCATGCGTGCCCAAGATCCTGAGAGGAGAATGGAAGAGAAGGGATTGCGGCGTGGCCATCCCCCCGGGGGGTGATTTCTCGCTTTCTATCTCTCTGTCTCTCTTTGTCTGTCTGGCAAGGGCATGCGGCCTATAGCAAAAACAAACAAACAAACAAACAAAAAACCTCTCCATAAAAACCCTGATGAACACCTATCTTAAAAAAAAAACTGCATGTTTCTTGATCAAGATGAATGAAATATAAGCCTCCACACAAAGCCTCCACAGGATCAATCTTGTAGTGGAAATAAAATGCACTCATCTATTCATTCTTTCTTTGGACGGGTATTTTTGAGTGCTAACATGTGCCACCCTTGGGCACTAGGAAGCCAATAATGACCAACATTCAACTATGAAAAGCTTAAGAAGAGAATAAAGTTCTGTGACAGTTTAGAGAGGAGCAAGATTATTCTCCGTGTGATATAAAACAAAGCCTCATAGAAGGAACATTTGACCTCCTCATATGTAGGGTTTTAATAAATAAAGTTACAGGAGAGAACTTCAGGTTGAAGGAAAGGCAGAAGCAAAGAGAAGAGAAACGTGATAGTGAAGGATGTACTGGTATTGTGCCTAATGCAAAACTGAAACTTGATACAGGATAAACCCCATAGGATGCCCAGTGCTGTAACAACCAGCCCCCAAATATCAGTAGCTCACTTCACAGTCAAATTTAGTATTCTAGGAGTGCTCTTTCACATAGAGATTTATGGGCCAAAGAATCTAGTAGTTCTGTCTCCCCTTGCTCTCTGAGCTCAGAAGACAAAGGACCCTGTCACAGAGAAGGTTGTGGGGAGCAAGAATCAGAACTAGAAAGGCATATTCCACCTCTACCTACATTCTGCTGACCACAACCAAGTCACATGGACACAGCCCCCACGTAACTGCAAGGAAGATGTGCAAGGAAGATGGTGCCATATAGCCTCTCCATGGGCCAAGAGAGAAGTGAGCCTGTTCGTTTGGTCACTTAGCATTATCTTGGTCACAGAGACAAGATTTTCTATAAAGGTATTCATTCAAGAGGACTATTGGTTAGTAATTGAATATTTAGTTTTTAATGTTTATACATTGTACACAATCACCATCACGTACATTATAAGCAAGTACTGAATAATTACTTTGGTAGATGATGCACTAGACCCTGAAAATGCAAGTAATGGTGTAATATACTAAAGGTGGGGCCAGTAGGTCGCATAGTGGTTAAGGCACTGGACTCCCACATGGCTGAACGCAGTTCAAGTCTCAAACCTGGAAGCTTGTTTTCTTACTTTCCTTTTCTCTCTCCGTCTCTCTCTAGTCAAATTAAAAAAATAATAACCCATAAAGTTAAATAATAATAATAAATTTGAAATGAAAAAATATATAGGAGGGAGCCTATGTCATTATTTACATAAAATGAGAAAAATAATAATATGGCATATAGTGTCAGAATATGAAGCAACACTCTATAAAGGTTTAGGTTATGATCCCTGTAACACTATAACGAAAAAGAAGCAGATGTTACATTCTCTGAGTCTCCCTAGAATCATAGCATGGTTTCCTCTTGAACAATGCAGGAGTTAGAGGACACAAACCCTGCTCAGTCGAAATCCATATATAAATTTTGACCCCCAAAACTTAACTAATAGGCTCCAGGTTGACCAGAAACTTTAATATTGGGTCTTCAGGAAAGTCGTGACACAGTTTGAATATAAAAACACAGAAAGACACATCATGACTTCCCCGACAACCTAATAGTAACACATATATTGTATATGCATTATACAGTATATTCTTAATTCAACTAGAGAAAAGAAAATGTTATTAAGAAAATCACTAGAAAGAGAAAATATAGCACTATAGTATATTGTATATATTCTAATTATTTACTTTTTATTTTAACAGAGATTTTTGCTATAGGTCATGTGTGCTCATCAGAGAGACAGAAAGACAGAAAGTGAGAAATCACTCCCCAGGGGGATAGTCATGCCACAATTCCTTCTCTTCCATTCTCCTCTTGGAATTTTGGGCACACACAACCACACCTGGTGAGAGTTTTAAGCTGCCAGGTCCGGTACTCAAACTGCAGTCACATGGGAGTCCAGCGACATAATCATTATCCCATCTGCTGATTCCTTAATATATTTATTTTTATTTTTATTTTTTATTTTTTGGGGGAGGTTTTTGCTATAGGGCACGTGCGCTTGCCAGAAAGACAGAGAGACAGAAAGCGAGAAATCATCCCCTACGGGGGACGGCCACGCTGTGATCCCGTCTCCTCCATTCCCCTCTTAGGATCTTGGGCACGCACACACACGTGCCCAGCGTGAGTTTAAGCCACTGGGTCTGGGACTCGAGCTGCAGTCGACTACATGGGAGTCCAGCGACATAGCCATTATGCTAACTGCTGGTCCCAATATACTTATTGTTAAAATTCTGTGTATAAGTGGACTCAGGAACTCCAAAGTGGTGGTGTTCAAGGGTCAGCTGTATGCCCCAAGCACAGAGTCAAAATGCATTGCCTTTAAAAAAAAAGAGTTTTGAAAATGAGATGGAAAACCCAGATGAACAGAGAGCATTTGCTCTTCGAGGAAAGATGTGCTTCATAAAGCTGTCAAAGTGATTTATTGAGCAAATTTTCTAAAGAAAGTTACTGATCTCCTCAGAAGTTAAAAAAAAAAAAAAAAGAAAAGAAAGGTCTTGACATTTTATTTGGATAATTTATATTTCTCATGTCGAGGTGGTTTATCATAACCGCTGAGAATATTGGCATTCGAGTTAGACACAGATCAGTCTGAGTCATACCCAGTTGCTGGCTGGCTTTGGGCACGCTGTTTGAGCCGCCTGAGCTCCCCACTGTAAACAACGTCCGTATAAAGGGCACAGTCATAGCAGTGAGAGGGACACTGCCTCGGCTCCTGAGGACGGCTGAGCTAACGCGTCACCATACTTGGTCCATTACCTGGTGCGTGACAAACACTCCTCTTCACGCAAAGTATTATAATGTCCAAGTCAATGTTTTGGGCCAGTCAGTGGCATGGTAGTCAAGGTGGCTGGTTCCTCATGGCTGACTTCATGGTCTGAATCTCAGCCCCACAACTTGAAAAACATGGCAGGCATGTATGTGTGTGTGCCAAAAATCTCCAAAAGGAGAGGGATGGAGGACGAGACTGTGGTGTGACCACTCTCCACGGGGAGTGCTTTCGCACGGTCCTTCTCTATCTGTTTGGTGACTGCATGCACCTTCTGGGAATTTAAAAGAAAAAAAAATAAATGATTTGAAGATTATTTAATAATGTGACACGTTACACAAAGTTGCAGTTTAAAGTAAAAATGGATACAGTAAAATCCCAATTCTTATTTTAAAAATAATAGATCGACAATTATAAATAGTAAACGGATTGACACACAGGAAAGGCACCAATATGTTCACAATGGTGTCTTCAGGTGGAATGTTCTGTCACACAAGTTTGCATCTGAAGGTGTTATTGAGTAAACACGTGTTTCTTACATATGCACTCCGTTAGCTCTAAAATCCTTTTATCTCTTAAACCTTATCTATAGACACGATTGCTTTATTAACATGATGTGATTCTTTTATGTTATATTCTCATAAAGACAATAAATGTTTCCCCAAGGAAACTGTTTGCTTTGTTCTGGTCTTAGAATGACTGGCCAGCAACATTAAAAATTAATCTGATGGGGGACAGCAGGTGGTGTACTGGTTAAAGGGCTGCACTTCTACATGGTCGCCTGCAGTTTGAATTCTGGACCTGGAGGCCTGAAACTCATGCTGGGCAACTGTGTGTGCATGGCCAAAATCCCGAGAGGAGAACGGAGGAGAAGGGATTGCGGAGTGGCCATCCCCCCTGGGCGTGATTTCTCACTTTCTGTCTCTCTCTTTATGTCTGGCAAGTGCACATGCCCTATTACAAAAATCTCTCTCTCAAAAAATCAGTCTTCTGAGAAGGAAATAATACTTTTTGCTCCTAGATTTTTTTACCTTTCAGTGAAGAAAAAGCTGAAATATCTTTTCAAATCCTTGTTTTTTTTTTCCCCTTCAGTCTATAACATGCACGGATATCTTGAGTCAATACGTATAATAATTCCAAATAATTTCTAACATAAAATATTATTAGTAATGGAGCATCACAATAAAGATAGAAGAACCTTTCAGACTTTTCCTGAAGCTGAAGCTAAAATATATCAAATATGCGCTTCCTCTGGCTTATACATTTAGGTATAAATTAAAATTTTGAATAAAAAGTTCATTTGCATTTCCATGTAAGATGACTTTCTCTTTTGCATGAATATTTCTTGTCAAGGTAATTCTTGTGTAAATAACTTTTTTTTTTTTGAAAGACCCTTTTCGCCAAGTTGGCTCCAAAAATGAAGAAGGAAGCTCCTGCCCTCCCAAAGCTAAAGCCAAAGCAAAAGCTTTGAAGGTCAAGAAGACAGTGCTGAAAGGCGTCCACAGCCACACACACACACACACACACACACACACACACACACACAGAGTAAGATCCTCACATGACCCATTTTCTGGAGGCCCAAGACACTGCGGTTCCTGAGGCAGCCCGGATAGCCTCAGAAGAGTGTCCCCGGGAGAAACAAGTGTGACCACGAGACCATCAAGTTCCCCCTACGCACTGAGTCTGCCATGAAGAAGACTGAAGACAGCAACACATTTGTGTTCACTGTAGATGTCAAGGCCAAGAAGCACCAGATCGAACAGGCTGTGAAGAAGTTCTGTCATTTTGATGTGACCACCGTCAACATCCTAATCAGGCCTGACCCAGAGAAGAAGGCATATGTGCATCTGGTTCCTGATTAGGATGCTTTAGCAGTCGCCCACAAAATTGGGATCATTTAAACGGAGTCCAGCTGGCTAATTCTAAATACACACTTTTTCACGGTGTTATTGAGTAAACACGTGTTTCTTACATATGCACTCCGTTAGCTCTAAAATCCTTTTATCTCTTAAACCTTATCTATAGACACGATTGCTTTATTAACATGATGTGATTCTTTTATGTTATATTCTCATAAAGACAATAAATGTTTCCCCAAGGAAACTGTTTGCTTTGTTCTGGTCTTAGAATGACTGGCCAGCAACATTAAAAATTAATCTGATGGGGGACAGCAGGTGGTGTACTGGTTAAAGGGCTGCACTTCTACATGGTCGCCTGCAGTTTGAATTCTGGACCTGGAGGCCTGAAACTCATGCTGGGCAACTGTGTGTGCATGGCCAAAATCCCGAGAGGAGAACGGAGGAGAAGGGATTGCGGAGTGGCCATCCCCCCTGGGCGTGATTTCTCACTTTCTGTCTCTCTCTTTATGTCTGGCAAGTGCACATGCCCTATTACAAAAATCTCTCTCTCAAAAAATCAGTCTTCTGAGAAGGAAATAATACTTTTTGCTCCTAGATTTTTTTACCTTTCAGTGAAGAAAAAGCTGAAATATCTTTTCAAATCCTTGTTTTTTTTTTCCCCTTCAGTCTATAACATGCACGGATATCTTGAGTCAATACGTATAATAATTCCAAATAATTTCTAACATAAAATATTATTAGTAATGGAGCATCACAATAAAGATAGAAGAACCTTTCAGACTTTTCCTGAAGCTGAAGCTAAAATATATCAAATATGCGCTTCCTCTGGCTTATACATTTAGGTATAAATTAAAATTTTGAATAAAAAGTTCATTTGCATTTCCATGTAAGATGACTTTCTCTTTTGCATGAATATTTCTTGTCAAGGTAATTCTTGTGTAAATAACTTTTTTTTTTTTGAAAGACCCTTTTCGCCAAGTTGGCTCCAAAAATGAAGAAGGAAGCTCCTGCCCTCCCAAAGCTAAAGCCAAAGCAAAAGCTTTGAAGGTCAAGAAGACAGTGCTGAAAGGCGTCCACAGCCACACACACACACACACACACACACACACACACACACACACAGAGTAAGATCCTCACATGACCCATTTTCTGGAGGCCCAAGACACTGCGGTTCCTGAGGCAGCCCGGATAGCCTCAGAAGAGTGTCCCCGGGAGAAACAAGTGTGACCACGAGACCATCAAGTTCCCCCTACGCACTGAGTCTGCCATGAAGAAGACTGAAGACAGCAACACATTTGTGTTCACTGTAGATGTCAAGGCCAAGAAGCACCAGATCGAACAGGCTGTGAAGAAGTTCTGTCATTTTGATGTGACCACCGTCAACATCCTAATCAGGCCTGACCCAGAGAAGAAGGCATATGTGCATCTGGTTCCTGATTAGGATGCTTTAGCAGTCGCCCACAAAATTGGGATCATTTAAACGGAGTCCAGCTGGCTAATTCTAAATACACACTTTTTCACCATAATAAAAAAAAAAAAAGAAAAAAGAAATTTTTCTTTTGCCGTGTCTTCCATTTAGGTACAAGAAAACAGTGCTTGACCTTTTTCTGAAGTTGTTCACCTCAGGTTGTATGATCTGATTTATGGTCAGACAGCCCTGCGCTCATAAGGGAAGGCTACCTCTCTTACATGACACCTGCCCATTACGTGGCTGGAACAGTAAATGGAGAAAAGCTCTTGCAGTGGGGGGTGAATGAGCCAGTGTCCAACATGAGAGACAAATTATCTCTTGCAAAAAGAAAATGCACAGGTCAAAGACTTCCTGCTTGTCTGCCCCTGGACAGTGACTCCAACCTTTGGGCCTAAGAAAAGCATTTTCTCCTGTTTTGTTATTTTTGTGCAAAATCTGTTTAATTTTTCTTTTAGACGAACCACAATGAGAACAACAACAATGTTACAATGTGATCTGGCTTTTTGGTAGATGTTTTGTTGGCTCATTTGGATTTTTTTATGCTTTTAATTACCTCTCTACTGATTGTCTTAATTTGCTTGTTTATCCTTTTCTTCTTTCATGTTAAATGGGAAAAGGCAGTACAAATTCTAGGTCCACAGGTGTGAGCATAGTCTTACAGCAAAACGAGGACCCTGTTTTCCCTGACTACTCATGCACAAGGTTCCTCATGGTCTTCAAAGCAGAGATCCTGTTCTAAATAATGGGAAAACCCCCACGAACTTTGCAACCCCTTCTCATATTAGATTCTATCTTGATTTGACTACAATTTCCAAACAGGACCAATTTCTTTCACACAATTCAGAAGATAACACCATCTGCAACAGAAAAGAGCAGTAAGAGACGTGAAGGCTGTGTTATGAAAATACCCGCAGGCCAGCTGGTGGCGTGGTGGTTAGGAAGCTGGAACCCACATAGCTGACTATGCAGTTCCAGTTTTTGACCTGGGGGCTTGAAAAACATGCTAGGAACATGTAGGTGCATGCTCAAAACCCCAAAAGGAGAACTGGAGGGGACAGAATTGCAATGTGATCATGGGCATGCTTTCTTGCTTTCTCTGTTTCTCTCTCTCTCTGACAAGTGCCTGCACTTTCTGTCAAAATTTTAAATAAAATAAAATAAAAATACCAGGTTTATTCATTGTTCAAACACCTGAAAAGGCTCTGTTTTGCTATTTATCAAAGTCCTTAGTCAGCCTCATACCAAAGAATCCCCGCCCTGGCGAGGACTCTGAGGTGTCCGGCGTGACCCCCCACTTGATATACGGATTCCTTCTGCAAACGTCACCACTAAGTGCGCTGGCCTCCTTGTCAGTCGAACAGAGACAGAGTGTTGTGCTTCTGGAAGGAGCCTGAGTTTCAGGCAGCTCAAACTTTATAAATCTCTTCCTCTTGTTGAGTCTGAATGTTCTTCCCCATAATTCATGTTTGCCATCCAAGTCTGCCCTCTGGAACCTCTCAGAATAAGTCTCCATCCTGTTCGATGTTGTGAGTTCTTCCTAAATTCTTCAGATGAATTAAATAGAAGCTACTATCAACTATTAAATCCACATCCAGTCCTCTGAAACACAACTTGGACAATGGGCATTTCCTACTGAATCTTTTTAGCATAAATGAATATACTAAAGAAGACGCCAAATTCCTTTTTTTATTTTACAGCTTTCCAATTCAAACAAAAATGCTTTTTATTTCAAGAACTGTGAGGGACCTCAGTGATTCCCTAACTCTGCTCCTTTGCTTTTCAGAGGTGAGTCATAGAACTCTGGTTACTAGAATGCTAGGAGTAGTGGGGTAGTATTGTTTTGCTCATTCTCAGAGGGTAAGAACTATATTTTGACAATTGCAAACAGTTTTCTTTTTATTATTATTTATTTATTTATTAAAGTTTTAGCCATAGCGTGTGTGTGTTCACAGGAGAGACAGAGAGAGGGAAAGTGAGAAATCCCTGGGGGATGGCTCTGCTGCAATCCCTTCTATTCTATTCTCCTCCTGGGATTTTGGGACACATGCACACACACCTGGTGTGAGTATCCAGCTGCAAGATGCAGGATTTGAACAGTGGTTAGCCATATGGGAGTCCAATGCCTTAACCCCACAGATAGTTTTCTAACAAACTTTTCTTATTGTACAGTTTTCTGGAACTATTTTACAGTAAATTAACATCTAGTAACATACATTAGTACCTAATCTTTTTTTATTTTTCTTTTTTGAGAGGTTTTTGTTATAAGGTACGTGCGTTCGCTAGAAAGACAGAGAGAGACAGAGAGACAGAAAGTGAGAAATCACCCTCCAGGGGGGATGGCCACACCGCAATCCCTTCTCCTCCATTCTCCTCTCAGGATCTTAGGCACGCATGCACACGCGCCTGGCACGAGTTTAAGCCACTGGGTCTGGGACCCGTACCATTGTTGACTATATGGGAGTCCAGTGACATAGTCATTATGCTAACTGCTGGTCCCCATTAGTACCTAATCTTAAATATTGATTTATTCTAAAAAATTTCCAAGTATGTTATCCCCTCAAATTAAAAAAAAATATTATTAGGGAAAAATAAAAAACAACCATCTTGAAATGCACGCTGTGTTTTCCCCCGAGTATCAGATCTCTAGGACATGCAGGTACACGTGAGCTCACAAGTGCGCGCACACACACGCAGTGATCCTACTGCCTCCTCTTCCCCTGGTTGACCCTCCTCTAAGTCCAAGGTTAGCATTATCAGTTGGTAGATATAATTCAGTTGCATAGCCAGGGAGTCAACATTTGACTTTACCTAACAAACAGGACGTAAATCCTCGGCAGTTCGGCTACAATGCAAGCTAGAGCACGGGGTTGTAGCTGTAAGGTAGCCTTCCTTTGGAAAAGGAGAACTAAGAAACAATAATAGCTAAAAGAAATAAGAGTGCAATATGTTGATGCTGCTACATGGAGGGGCAGTCCTTTAAAATGTTCGTGGAAAATGAATATTAGGAAAAAAACCAAGCATAGATTCCAAATTATTTTGCATCCAAAGAAACTCGTCCTTTAATCTCATTTTTCCACTAGCGTTTTGAAGTCCTATCACACTTGATTGGTGACAAGGACACGGCAGCAAAAACATCCTAAGGAAGGAGTTGTAGCTAGGGAGTGCTGTGCTCTCACACTCCTGCTCACTGTCCTTTAAAATATATGCACAAGAATAGAAAAACGAAAATCCCATCACCCAGAGAAGACTGTTAGGACATGCAGTATACCTGCCTAGTATTTTTTTCCTGCACATATATGTAAATACAGAATATTTACAAAATTTGGATCTGAGTACTTTTCACTTAATATTTCTAGATTATTAAATTGTCCTCAGAAGCATGGCTCTCTATTTTCCACACATTGATGTTCTGTTACATAACATGTTCCTGTTGATAGAAAAAAAAAATTTTTTTGCAGCCTTTCTTCCCTTGACAAATAAGGTCACCTTTCCCGTTCCCTGTCCATTCTGAGCTAAAAACAAACCACACAAACATCAGACCTGAGATTCTACGTCAGAGAGTGCTTCTTGAAAAGAATTATGTAATATTAAGATAAAAAAGAGGGAAATGAAGGAAAGCAAGAGAAATGTGTCACTGTTCTAGCAAACAGCTGACTTCAAAAATTACAGGATCACAAATAGAAGGTGATGAAAGACAACAGGATGAAAATAAGAGAAGGCTGCAGAGCTGATAACCAGACAGCGTTAGAAGTGGACCGCTCGACGGTGACCCGGTTCATGGCCGGAGGACCGCTGGATGGTGACCCCGGTTCCTGCGGGGCAAAAGAAACAATGTCCTCCATTTCCAGCAGACCTTGTGAACCACAGGGAAGAGGTCACAGGCTTGTGTGGGTGATTACAGCACATTATTTAAGGACTGTAAGGATGCTTGGCGTGAAGAAAGCCCCTGGCAATGCTGCTGGAATAACAAGTATCTCCGCGTTCTGGCAGAGAACACTCAGGGCTGGGTCCCCCAAGCCCCGGGGACTGTGCCGATGTAATGGAAGCCAGCAGCTTGAGCAGCTGTGTCAAGGTGAGCGTCTGAGAGAATGCGGCCGTGTGTTTTATTCGGTATCCTGCAGGAGGGAAAAAGTCACCCACTTCTGTGTCAGAAGCAGACACGTGCATTCCGTCAGTGAAAACTTCCGGACACCCCCATACGCTGAGCTGTGGGCTAGACTCGGAGCAGTCAAGGGCCTTGGGTGGCGTCTCTAGGAGAGAGACGGATGTGTGAGCGTCTCTGGCATCCCCGATTTTTTCGGGATACTTGTTTCAGTTTGTGAGTGGGCATTTTATCTGTGACCATTGTGATTATTTCTCTCATTAACGTCTGCCATCTCACTAGACGGTCACTGTCACGAAGGCAGGAGTTTATCTGTCTGGCTCACGGTGATTTTCCTAGCAGGGTTCCTGACACATAACACATATCCAACAAATATTTCTTGAACAAATAAACAAATGAATAAAATACTCAGGAAGGTTAATGGTAACTGTAATAGCAGGGATGATAAAGACCTGCTCAATTCTCAGGACAGATTAATTCCAGAAAAAAGCTGAAAGGTTTTATGGAGGAGGCGGCTGTGAAAACCAGGAGGCCAGATGAAGCCATGATAATCACCTGGACAGGACGTGATGGGACATAAACGTGAGAGTAGGACAATGCAGAGAGAGACAGAGACACAGCTGCAAAGATAAAGGCGGCAGATGCTGGCTGCCAAGGACGTGAAGGGGAAGGAGTGCGAGAATGTGCCCGGCGGAGGCCAGCAGGTGGCGTGGTGGGGAAGGTGCTGGACTCCCAGTGGGCAACTGCGTTAGACTCCTGGACCTGGCGGCTTGCTTCCTCACTCTGGTGAGCACCTGCGCCCTAAAGCCAATTTAAAAAAATAGTAACACTAATAAATAAAGTCGAATAAATATTTATTGTTTAAAAA